GGGCTGGATTGAGAGTAGGGATAAAATAAATTGATTTTTTCAACCAAAAAAATTTGTAATTTGAAGTTGGAAGAGAGTTTTGAAAAATGTTTTTCTTAAGTTTTGAATGGAAGTCATTTTCCCTAAATTTGAGGAAAATGAGTTCATTTGGAAAACATTTTCCAAAACATTTAACACAAAATGTTTTCCTTCATACCAAGCACACATAGTGTACTTACCTTTATCTTTTTCCAATTGGTATCAATAATTATATTGGCGGAGCCATGATTTTTTTTAAGGGATTCAAAATATGAAGGATTAAATACACAGAGAAATTAAAAGTGCTCAACATCTACTATATATACCTGAGAAGTAGCTTTAGGCTAATCTTGAGTCCAAGTCTTTAAGATAGCCAACAATGTGTGTTTAGCTATGATTTTGTAAGTTACTCTTTTGGTGGTTAATATACATGATTGGTTACCACAAAAGTAAAATAGGAGAAGATATTTGCAGTAGGGCATCTTTGTTTAATTATTATTTAGAGATTACTAATTCTAAATAATATAAGCAAGGCTGGATCCATGAAAAATGGGTCACAAGGTGAAGTTGATACACTTAGCAACTAAGCTTTAATGCCTTTTTAAAGTTTGAAACTTGTTTTAATAATCCTTTCTTAAGATCTAATCCTTTCTCTTCTGGTATTTCCTACTGCATTTGTCCTTTTTTAATCATTTGAAATTCAAAATTTCCTTGTTTAATTAATTTCGATACGTATCAAATATGCGATTAGATATACTAAAAGAAATTAAACGTTTTCTATTGAAAAATTCTCTCTAGTTAAAGCTTGAAGTTAGAGTCGTCGATTATAAAGTATGGGGACCAACCATTCACAGGTGGATCTAGAAGGAGGCGAGGGTGTTCACCCAAATTGTGCTATGAATGGTGAAAATAATAATTAAAAGTCGTGTAACATAGCACGACTAGGAAGAAACTATTTCAAAAAAAAATTGATAGTCATGGATTCATTCATGACTAAAGTAAATGACAGTTTGAGTCAGCCATAACCTCTCACCACAATGGTGCAAATCAAGTATCCAAAATGTTCAAACATTCTGTGAATCTAAGTTCCAATACAAATCTTATTACGAAGAGGAAGAAAAATTACAAGCATAAACTCTCAAGAACACCTTTTAGGCTCGAAGATTCAAAATGCTATCTGGAAGCATAATCTGTTTCTGCATTAAAATCATATGAAAGAATTCTACATTAGCACTTCATTCCACAATGACTCAACTTTAATTTCAACAGAAATGGAATCAGGACATGAAGTTTATGTGTTTTGGATTCTACCAGTTATAAGTTACTAATTTTTAAATTAACAGTTTATTCATTTAACATGTATGAAATTATGGTCAAGTAGATTTCTCAATTTGTCTAGTGAAAGAGCTTCCATAATTCTTGCAGCAACATATCTCAAATGAACAAGTTGAGGTATTACACAAGTGAAATCTAACCGGACTGATAACACGTCCAACACCTTAAGCAACTTCAACTGTGATATGCACAACATTTTCAGTATGAGCTTCTCTTAGGCATAATTGGCGAAGAAGATCGTGAATTTTGCAAGTTTCCATCCTTCCATTAGCCTCATCCACAACATTTTCTGTATGAGCTTCACTTAGGCATAGTTGCCGAAGAAGATCGTGAATTTTGCAACTTCTCATCCTTCCGTTAGCCCTTTGTTTACAAGTCAAAATTATACTTCTATCAATTAACTCTTCTAGATACTCCTCTGCCACCACTTCTAACCTTTTATTGCTTGTTGACTTTACAAATTGCTCAGCAATCCAAAGCCTAATCAATTTGGAAACATCAATCTCCGTATCTTCAGGAAAACCTCCAACGTAGAGAAAACAAGCCCTCAAATATTGGGGCAAGTAATAGTAGCTCAAAGTAAGAATTGATTGGCACCGTTTGGATACCACACCAAAGAAAGAGTTCAGATTTTGCTCAACTTTCTTCCAATTATCATGCGTTGGGTCCATTTTTCCAGGAAGTCCAGCAACGACAACAATTGAGAGAGGTAATCCTTGACATTGTTGTACAATATGCTTCCCGGGTTCTTCTAGTAGAGGAGGACAAGGATCTTTTTTGAATAATATTTTGGTGAAAAGATTCCAACTATCACGAAGACTTAGAAAAGATTTCCTATGAGGGGGGAAATCAGGACAACTGACATAATCAGCAACATACTTGAGCCGAGTGGTTAATAGAATTCGGCTTTTATTGTCATCATTAGGAAATATTCTTTGAATTTGGTCCCATGCCTCAGTACTCCAAATATCATCTGCGACAATTAGAAATCTCCAACCCTTCAGACCTCTGTGCACAATCTCCATTAGTTGATCATCGCTCATTTCTTGATTGCTTCCAGTAATTGAAGAAACAACTTCAAGAAGCATTTGTCTCTCATTGTATTCTTCGGAGATAGTGGCCCATGCATGTTTATCAAATCGAGAACATATAGAAGAATCATCATAAACTTTTCTGGCAAGAGTTGTCTTACCTATACCTCCCATACCAAAATTGGTATGACAGTTAACTCGTGTGTTTGGGCAGTGAGGCGATCAAGTATGGTGTTGAAGTCAGCCTCCATCCCAACAATACTATTTTCCTCAATTTTACTTTTTTCTGGCGAGGAGGGAGTTGCTGCTGCTAGTTCTGCGGATCTGCTTCCATGCTTGTTAAACTCAATCTGCATCAACTCTTGCCTGAGAGAATGAACATCTTTTTCCACTTTTACCAATTCTTCCTCGAAGAATTTACAAGCCCCTTCTCTACTCTCTGTACAATCAGCTAGAATGATGCTTCTTAGACTTGAATCAACTTTATCTTCTGCTTTATATATTACATCTCTGATCCTCTTTTCTATAAACTTAAGAGTTTCAATATCTTTGGCTTCTTTTGTCGTATCGTCAAGGAAAACTTGCAGAACAGAAAGATTTCGATAGAGAGATTGAACATGTTGTTGTGTACAACATCGACAAACCAAATATTCATTAGGTTTTTAGAGTTGCTCCAATGTGTACATTAGTGAAGAAAGAGCAGCATATGCCATTTCTCTTAACAATTATTGCAATTTGCTGGTATTACTAAAAGATAAGAGCCTTGCAGATTTAATGTCTCTGCTTTGTTATTATTAGGCAATATAATTTACCTGAATTTGGACAATTTTCTATTTAACATCTACATCACAACCACACAACTTGTAGTTCATGGATGCAAAACTGTGGATTGACTAAGTCAAAGTGAGAAAAAAGAAATGAAAAATAAAGACATAATAATATGTCAAGTTGTATTTTAATAATATAATAAACTTCTAATGAAAAATAAAGAAACTCTTGTAGTTTTCCTAAAGAATTTTCAAACATTAGTCGTTCAGATTTCTGATTCATATACATTGTATTCCAACTTGTCAGAGACATTGAACCCTGTTGTAAAATAGAATAATTAACGTTGAATAATGAAGACATCACGTGTCAAGTTGGACGAATATAATAAACTTTTGGTACAAATTTTCTTTGAAATTTATATAATCATAAAAGATCAAGACTTTTGAGTTACTTAAGTTAATATCACCGTCTGAAATTTTGTATAATAAAAAACAGACAGGTTGAAGATTAACCTACCCCATAGTCTTGCTCAAAATGAGAAACCAGCTCTTATCCAAAGGGTAGATAGAGATGGGCCTAAATTCCATCTGAAACACATTTTTTCCCAACCAAACCAAAGCTAAATAAAAGCATAAATAGATGATCGAAAAAAAGGATAAAGGACAAGCGAGGGTGGTTTGGATGGTAAATACTCTCCACTCTAATTCTAAGATTAGGTTATGGGTTCAAGTCAATAAGTGAGTAAAAAAAAAGATGAAAGCTCACACGAAAAATAAAAGAAACCAAGAGAGGACAATGTGTGGGTTAAAGACACAAGATTAATGAATATTATTAGAATACAAGTTACGAAAATGAAGATGTGCAATTATGGAGTTGATTTAATCTCTCTGCGTTGTTATTATTAGGCTAAGAGGTTTTGTCCAAAAGGTTTACTTTTTTTTATGTCCATACCTTTTTGTAAATGGGGACTAAAGACTAGTGCACACTCTCTATGACATGTCAGTGTTTGTGGTGTATTTATCCATTTTAAATTAGTTTAGGGGTAATAGGACTCTAGTTAAGTTTAGGTGTGTCTCTGAAATTTCGATCATAGTCTACGGGGTACTTATGCATTATCCCTAAATTTTACCATCAAAATAATAAATTCAAATTAACAATTGAATCAAAAAAGTCAAAAAGAATATGTGTGAAGAGTCAAATATACCCCTATATGAATATCCTTTTTAATAAAAAATTTTAAAAAATGAATTTAAAATTGATTTTTTTCATTTCCGTTAGAGAAAAATTGTATATGTGAGCCATTTGTGTAATAGTAGAGGAAAATAGTATAAAAAATAAATTTAAAATTTGTTTCAACCCGCCCCGCCCTGTTATCGTCGCTATATATGAGCCACTTTGATAGTGAGGTATATCGACTCTAAATGACAAAGTTAAGGTGTATATCAACCATATCCCTAAAAATAAACAAGGGTTTTGAATCTTATGGTCCAAGACTAAATATACGTAGAATGGATCAAAATATCTTTTAATCTTGTTATTTTAAACATGTTAGTAGAAAGTAAGAATTAAAAGAGTTGTTAAAAAGGAAAGAATCATTCTTTTTTAAACGGTTCACTAGGAGAGATATGGTAAAAAAAATGAAGATATTTAGGCCAATGTGGAGATGGCCTTTTTCACGGACAAGATGCGGGAGGCTAAGGTGAGATAGTTCGGACATATTAAGAGGAGATTCATAGATGCTCTAGTGAGGATATGTGAGAGGTTAATGCTGGAGGATCTAAGGAGAGGTGGTGGTAGCCCAAATAAGTGTAGGGAAGAACATGACAAATGTTCACCTTACCGAGGAGATGCATAGACGCTTTAGTGAAAATGTGTGTGAGGTTGATGCTGGAGGATTTGAGAAGAGGTAGGGGTAGACCAAATAAGTATTAAGGAGAGAAGATCAGACAACACATGACAAACCTTTACCTTTCTAAGGACATGAGCCTTAATAGAGTGTGGATATCGAGTATATGAAATTTTGTTTACTTACTTTAAATTGATTATCTGTTTCCCTCCCTTTTCTGGTAGGAATTGAAAATCTTGTATTTTACATATACATACAATTGAAGCTTTGTTCAACCTCCCTAAAGGTAATAAACTCAAGCAAATCAAGTATTCAAAATGTTCGAACATTCCGGAAATCTAACTATTATAAGCTCCACTACACATCTGATTATACAACAACAATATACCTGATGAAACTCTAGAATGTACGCAAACCTTACCATGGAGACTGTTTTCGGAAATAGAAATCTGATTATGAAAAAATATACAAGCTCCAGAATATAGGTGTCAGGATAAAAAATACAAAATGCTATCTCATTTACTCAGTGTTAACACCAGCAGAGTTCCCAACTAGATGGGAAAGCCTTCTACACACTCCTGTAACTGCATTAAAACCATATAAAAGAATTCTGTATTAGCTCTGCATTCCACAATGACTCAACTTTCTACAGCTGTGGAATTAAGACATGAAATTTATGTGTTCCGAACAATTTGTACATATTAAATGGATTTCTTAAGATGGTACTTGAATATACCTAATAATACGAACTTGAAGCTCATAATTTCCCAAGCTCTCTTGCTCTTCTTGAATTCTCTTTGCACTATTCTCTACACCAGAGCTGCAATCATCTATTTGGATCAATTTTAGTGTCATTATATCTCCAATACTCTCCGGAATCTCCTCCAGTTCATACAACCAATCTAGTAATAGTTGCTCAAGCATCGGAAAATTATCACTACATGCTTCCCACCTTTCCAGACCTACCTCAACAATTAGTAGATACTTTAATTTGTGAAACACAACATCTTCATCTAGTTTCCAATCTGTTCCATCGAATGCACGATACCCTTTGAGCACCTCAAGATTGGGTAAATTAGCCAGCAAATTCACAATTTCCCATGGTATACGAGTACCTGTTAATATCAATTTCTTGATATTAGGACTTAATATCAGTTTTTTGATATTAGAAGGCAAAATAACTCCAGAGAAAATGTTTTCTTCTGTTTCTATGTATAGTGTCTCGAGATCTTCTAGAAGACTGAGAGAATCAAGAATAGCAGGCCAATCAGGATGCTCAGAATCATCTAAAATCTTTAGCTTTTTTAGATTGGGAGTTCTTCTTATGATTTCCGCAACAAAAGGAGTGTGACGGAGATAAAGCATTTGCAAGTTGTTCAGAAACAGAGGTTGTTCACCAATACTATGATTTTCGGCATCAAGAGGATTAGATATATATAGTGGCAATCCAATATCCACATGTCTTATCTCTGACATTGTCCAAATATCTAGTGGGAGAATCAACTCTGGCGATTTTTCCTTAATTTGAAAATTCTTTGAAGAATTATGGTCTGTAGATTTCTCAATTTAGCTAGTGAAAGAGCCATCATAATTCTTGCAGCAACATATCTCAAATGTACAAGCTGAGGTATAACAAAAGAGAAATCGTAATCAATTGATAATACTTCCAACACCTTAAGCAATTTGAACTGTGAAACAATGGAGCCAATCCGTTTTGGAAAATCTGAACTAATAGATTGCTTTGAAATAAAGGTGCGGGTTACACTTGTAGGATCGTCTTTTGAGGACACGGGGACATTCCTATTCGTGACATGCAAAACATTTTCAGTATGAGCTTCTCTTAGGCATAGTTGGCGAAGAAGACCATGAATTTTGCAAGTTCTCATCCTTCCATTAGCCTTTCGTATACCAACCAAAATTAGACTTCTATCAATTAACTCTTCCAGATACTCCTTTGCCACCATTTCTAACCTTTTATTGCTTCTTTCCCTTATGAATTGCTCAGCAATCCATAGCCTAATCAAATTGGAAACATCAATCTTTCTGTCTTCTGGAAAACCACCAACATAGAGAAAACAAGCCTTTAAATATTGGGGCAAGTAATTGTAGCTCAAGGAAAGAATTGATTGGCACTGTTCAGATACCGTACCAAAGAATGAGTTCAGATTTTCCTCAACTTTCTTCCAATTATCATACGTTGGATCCATTTTTCCAAGAAGTCCAGCAACCACAACAACTGAAAGAGGCAATCCTCGACATTGTTGTACAATATGTTTTCCAGTTTCTTCTAGTAGAAGAGGACAAGGATCTCTTTTGAATAATTTTTCAGTGAACAGATTCCAACTATCATCAAGATTTAAGAAAGACTTACAATGAGGCGGAAAATCAGGACAACTGACATAATCAGCAACATACTTGAGTCTAGTGGTTAATAGAATTCGGCTTTTATTGTTGTCATCATTTGGAAATATTCTTTGCATTTGGTCCCAAGCCTTAGTACTCCAAATATCATCTATGACAATTAAAAATCTCCGACCCTTGAGACCTCTATACACAATCTCCATTAGTCGATCATTGCTCATTTCTTGATTGCTTCCAGTAATTGAAGAGACGACTTCAAGCAACATTTGTCTTTCATTGTATTTTTCGGAGACAGTGACCCATGCATGTTTATCAAATCGAGAACGAATATATGAATTATCATAAACTTTTCTAGCAAGAGTTGTCTTACCTATACCGCCCATACCAAAAATTGGTATGACAGTTAACTTCTTCGTTTGGGCAGTGAGGCGATCAAGTATGGTGTTGAAGTCATCCTCCATCCCAACAATAGTATTTTCCTCAATTGTACTTTTTTCTAGTGAAGAGGACATTGTTGCTAATTCTGCAGATTTGCTTCCATGGTTGTTAAACTCGATCAACATCAGCTCCTTGTTGAGAAAATAAACTTGTTGTTCCACTTTCAACAATTCTTCATAAAAGGATATACAAGCCTTTTGCCGCTTGTCCTCGCGATCTGCTAGAATGATGCTTCTTAGACTTGAATCGATTCTATCTTCTGCTTTGTATATTACATCTCTGATCCTCTTTTCTATAACCTTAAGAGTTTCAACATCTTTGGTTTCCTTCGTCGTATCTTCAAGGAAAACTTGCATAGCAGAAAGATTTTGATAGATAGATTCCATATGTTGTGTGCAGCTTCGACAAACCAAAGATTGATTAGGTTTCATGAGTTGTTCCAATGTATAGATAAGTGAAGAAAGAGCAGCATAAGCCATTTCTCTTTGTTTGCTGGAATAACTAAACGATAGAGTCTTGCAGATTTAATCTCCCTGCTATGTTTTTCTTATGCTAAGAGATTTTGTCCACATGATTTACTTTTCTTATCTCCACCTTTTTCTAAATGGGGGACAAACACATAGGATACTCACCCTTTATCATTTGTTTATAATTAAAAGAGATGATGGATTTCCAACTGGTATGCCAACACAATCAAATTGATTAAAAGTGAGTGTGAAAGAACTACTTCACCCCTGATACATGTATTCGAAATCTGGTATCTAAAAACGTAGTAAGCAGTAATTAGTAGAAGTAACAATACACAAATTTATCGTGGAAAACTTCTTGTTCAAGAAAGTAAAAAAGCACGACCTACACTGTCTAGGATGGAAACCGCCAATCTCCATTAACTTCTCAAGAGCCAACGCTTTAGATTATAAAAGGAACTAACTCTAGTACCTCAACTCTACAGTTCACTCATACTGTTCTAACTACTCACCAATAAGTCAAACTCATTTCTTATTACAAACGTCACCCCTACAACTACTCTCTTCAATCTAGGAATTATTACAACTCAATAATAACCCTAGAACAACTCAATCAAACTTTAATATTCAATAGTACAGACGTACACAACTCATGAATCAGGTTCAATGTTATTGTGATGAAGTTCTACAATGCACATGAGGGTATTTCTTTTTCTATTTTATAATTAAAAGTGAGTGCACTCATTTTATTTTAGTCTATTGCATATGTGGTACTAGAAATTTTGTTAGTGCTTCATTCTCCAATGACACAACTTTCTATATCAAACAAGTATATTTTGATATTTAAGTTCCATTCCATCCAGGAGAATGACTACTTTTGATAAATGTTATCAATACAGAACCTTTCGTGAAGCAAATCTAACAATCATCATATCATATTATCCTAAAAGTGGGAAGAATGTTAGGCAAAAGTTAGATTACCATTTTGCCCTTATACTAAATCATAATCAAAGTAATTAAATATTAGTAAATAAATTGCTAATAATTTTACAGTCTTAATTACTCTTAATTTAAAAGTTGAAAAGTTAATTACATTTAATAATTTAACAACATAGTCTAAAGTTAAAAGGGAAAAGTTGGATTACTATTTTATTCCTATCCTAAATTAAAATTCTAAGAATCATCTAATTGGTTATTAGTAAATAATTAAGTTTAATTATCTTAAGGCAGGTTCTCCTTCTTTTAAATTTTGAAGTTTATCTCCTAGCCCGATTTATAAATTAATTAATTGTTAATTATTTCCCTGCGTTGATTAATGTCTCCTTAATTCTTATTTTAATGCTCTAATAGGTGAGTAAATTATTTTAATGAGAAATTGGATTTATTGTAATCTGTTCAATTTCTTGATATTATACATAAATCTTTTAATTTATAGTATCTTAATTACAATGTACAATTATTTAATTTTCTAGCCTTCAGTTAGTCCTACCCTATAATAATAAATACGTATTTAAATGATGGAAATGAAGAGGCATAACAGATGAGGGAAACAAAGAGTCTCATTTACTTTAATATATTGTGTCTATTCTCTTTATCATCAGATGTTAATCATTCTAGAATCTGGCCCATCATCTTTCTGATTTCACATCTCGAGTAAGTTTGTATTCGTTCTTGTTTTTTTGTTTCATCTTTGCAATATTATAATTTTGTAGGTACAAAGAAAAATGACATTATCAAACTATTTAGTTCGGTACATACAATGGTTAATTATGTTATATGTCATATCTTATCAAGTGAATTTACATAGATGAACATTTTGAAAACTCTTATAATTTCTTTAATATGCTTTTCTTTTCAGTAGCGGGATGATGACATCAGAACCTTTGATTATAAAAGATAAGTTATTAGTGTAATTTTGTACGTGGTCAGATTGTAAAAATCATGCTCTTAATACTTATTTCGTTTGGTTCAACACTTTTATAATTTTCTTAAATTCTCTTTTTGAGTTTGGAGAAATAGCTTCCGAAAGAGTATAAATTGGTACTAATTCAACGTGTTGAAAAAGATAAATTGTTTGGTTATTTACACTTTCATTTGAGGTTTATTGATCATAATTTATTCTTATATTTTTAATCCACATATTATAAGTACAAGAACATTTCAATTTTTAGAATACCTTTATAGATGTCTTTGATTTCATTCACTGCCAGTAGTCTATAACCTATATTAAACTATCCGTAAGAAAATATTTATGAGATGCTTGTAATTAGTCTGGTAGATGAAAAAAAATCTTATGATATAACATATAATCATAGAAATTGCTTGAATACTTTACTTTGGGCATTCCTATTTATAAAGATTGTTTGAGTGCCTATTATTATATCTATTGAGATATGATTATAGTGTTATATTTTGTTAATATATAATTAAATTTTGAACAATGTCAATATTGTTTTTCTTACATTTACAAATGAAAGAGGTTGTAATTTTGAATCAAGACAAAGGGTGCATGTAGGTGCAACAGTGATATCACTGCAACTTTTTGATGTGCCTATATATTTTAAATATCTCTATTACAAATAAATTTACTTTTGTAGCTTTACATCATGAAAAATGATAATGATCATTCAAAGAAAAACACATACTGATCAAATATCTATATTAGTTCGATAATATTACTTTCATTTGATAAATCTTCTTAATATCTATGCGGCTATAGAAGGAATCAAATAACAATGCAAGATTTTCTACACATGAATGATTTGCACTTTGATCCGACATTGCTCATATTCACATGTAGACAATGTTGTTAAAATGTAAAAGAAACAAGAAAATGAAGTTAAATGTTTGGTATGCTAATTGATTTACATAACTAAATTTAGATGTTCAAACAATCCATTGTATTGTTGTGTATATTCCATCATTTCAATTTTAGTTCTGGTCATCACAAACATATTACCACATCAGTTATATAATTTAAAGATATTGGACTAATTAGCATGTGATTCACGTGCAACGCACATTCCCAGAGACTAGTATGTAATAAGCAAGAAATGGAACTTCACCATATAGTGGTAGAACAAATTGTAATGCTCCCGACAAGCTAATGATATTTACGAATGAGTTCATCAAACATCTGAGTGTAGCACCAGCTAGGTTAGGGTAGCGCTTGCCATAAAGAAGCTATCCAAGAAACAGGTCAAGCAATTAGCGAGCGATAGTACAAACATCCATACCAAACACACTCTTAAGAAGACACATTGTTTTGTTCTCAATGAGTCTAAGTTCATGACGTGTATGCAGACACTTATTTGAAATCTGATTCACAAATATAGATCTACATTTTTTTGTTCGTATTCATACTAGTTCAAATCTATAAACTGAAACAGGAAGGAATTTTCCGTTTTGCTCACTGCTTCAGGAAAACTAATAACACTGTAGATCTTCTAGCACACTTGACAGCTTTGGTAAAGTGTCTCCGATCATACATGAATAAATACAAGCATAATTTTATTTGAAATTTATATAATCATAAAAGGTCAAGATGTTTGAGTTACTTGAGTTAATATCACTGTCTGGAATTTTGTACAATAAAAAACACACAAATTGAAGATCAACCTGCCCCACAGCCTTTACTTAAAACGAGAAACCAACTCTTATCCAAAGGGTAGAGATAGGCCTAAATTCCATTAGAAACACATTTTTTCCCAACCAAACTAAAGCTAAATAAAAGCATAAATAGATGATCGAAAAAAAAGGATAAAGGACAAGCGAGAGTGGTTTGGATGGTAAATACTCTCCACTCTAACTCTAAGATTAAGTTATGAGTTCGAGTCAACAAGTGAATAAAAAAGATGAAAGCTCACAGGAGAGATAAAAGAAACCAAGAGGGGACAGTGTATGGGTTAAAGACACAAGATTAATGAATATTATTAGAATATAAGTTGTGAAAATGAAGATGTGCAATTATGGAGTTATTTAATCTCTCTGCTTTTTGTTATTATTAGGCTAAGAGGTTTTGTCCAAAAGGTTTACTTTTTTTATGTCCATACCTTTTTCTAAATGGGGACCAAAGACTAGTGTACTTACCTTTAACTTTTTTCAATTTGTATCAATAATAACAATGGTAAATCACATAAATACGCTATATTAAGAAAATATTTACCCTACCCATGCATGTTTATCAAATCGAGAACAAATAGATGAATCATCATAAACTTTTTTGACAAGAGATGTCTTACCTATACCGCCCATACCAAAAATTGGTATAACAGTTAACTCGTCTATTTAGGAAGTGAGGCGATCAAATATGGTGTGAAAGTCATCCTCCATCCCAACAATAATATTTTCCTCAATTGTACTTTTTTTCTGGTGAGGAGGGAACCGATCAAATAAATTATTTCTTCTGAAGGGACCAGACTGAGTCGGGCATGCACGCTCTAGTGAGTGTGACAGAATCGGGCGTGCCAGGAGTGATGAATGGAATGAATCTCACATCGATCATGGACTTCCTTAGATGAATTTGGGCAATTCTCACTTTAGGCTAAGCCCAAGGTCCATGTAACAATTACTACTAGTGGTCCATGGACAAAGACACTGTAGTTTTCTTGAAGACTTTTCAAACACTGATCATTCAATGGGTCCCAAATGTGTCTGATTTCTGATTCATATACATTGTATTTCAAGTTGTTAAGAGAGATTGAATTAAAATTGAATAATTTATAGTGAATAATAATGTGGTCCATTTAACGACTCAATACATGAATGTCACAAATTAATTGGCACATAATATATTTTTTTCCTACGTAAGTTGATCTGCAGTATGAGTTTGGGATCTTTTATTTGCTCTGCATGAAGCCTAAAGGTGGTCAGAGTCCGTCAGTTTTTATTAGACATGTATGATAATCTTCAACTGTACAAAATTGTGAGAAGAACTAGTAAGAACTGTGGCTGCCATCCAATTCTTGACATTTGACGAGATTACTCAATCACTCTATAAATGGAGGATCGATAAGTGACTTTACTTCATCAAATTAAAATTAAAAAAATCAAGTATTAGTATGTATAACTATTTATCATATTTAAAAAGAGTGAAAACATTTAAATACTGAACTTCGTTTAAAAAACGAACTCTCCCCTTAACTTTGAATAATAGATCGAAGACGAACGACAAAAAATTTCAACAAGTAATATCCCAAGTTTAGTAATACTGGCTAAAATTTATATATAACTTAAATAATAGGATGAAAATTGTCTATGGAGGCCCAAATGGATCAACTGAATAATTATCTTTACATATTTTCAAGCAAACATATATATATTTCTTACAATATGGTAAAATCTAATTGAAACACTTAAAAACAGTGCACTGCAATTTACATGGAGGGATCTTTTCCAAACCCCATTAGAGCATGTGTTAAAAGCATCGAAGCTCTTCGAGATACCTCAATCATACGTCCAACAAGTGGTACCTTCACTGTCTCCCTATTTCGTAAAGGTTTCTTATCCCAGCTACAAAAATTGTTCGAAAACCATTCAAAAATAGGAATAAACTATACAACCAAACATTATAATAGAATATATAGAATAAATTTGGCAAGATGAGTGAGGCTTGCTTAGTTGGTGAAACACCTCCACCTCTAACCAATTATATTGGTTGAGGTTCAAGTCATGCTGCAGCAATGGGGGAGACAGCTTAGCATGCCTCATTAGTTTTGCCAAAAAGAAACATCTTTTGCAAAATGTGACGAGTACACACAACATTATAAAAGAGAGTATATTTTGGCAAGACGAGTGAGTCTTGCTCAATTCATGAGACTCCTTTTCCTTTAACTAGTTGGTTGAGGGGGGGTGGTTCAAGTCTCATTATAGCAATGAGGGAGCCACAACTTAGTAAGCCTAACTTGTTTTGCAAAGAAAAATGAAACATCTTCTGGCAAAATTATGTCATTTGACAAGAACACTGATATAGCTCAAAGTGGCATTAACCAACCCTGTTTATCTAGAGCCCTAGACCAAGTAAAATAAATTTGTGCGACTTTAGGATTAAGTTTATCGAACATGTGAAGTTGCACAGATTTTGAACATACTTAAAAAAGTACACTATGGCGAAACAAAGTGTTACTTGCCTCTTACATTTATACAAACTGAAAAATAATGTTAGGATGTTATGGCAAGAAACCAAGAGAAATGCTTAACATTTTCCTTGTTGAACTACAAATTCAACAAGTATTCTTGATGTGAAATATATACGTACCAGTCTTCATGACGAACAACCTTTCCTCCTTCCGTGTACAACTTGATTAGTGATATCATATGAATGTCTTTCCCCAAGAACTTGTAATATTGTTTGTTGTCAATTAAAATCTGAAGCCATCAACCTTAATATCAGAGTTCGAAAGCAGAGAATAAACAAAGCGAAAAGAAGATGCAATAGGATGGAGGTATCTTAAACCTCTTTATTTCCAGGAGAAATTTCTTTCTCTGTGACGTTGTACTCCACTATTCTCGACTCACTGAAGACCTGAAATGTACAAAAAGAACAGTTTGAAATTATTCATACACAACAATCCCAAGCCTAAAGAAAGACATAATATAGCAATAAATTAATTAACTTTAAGAAGAAAGGATTGGCTAAGAACTATTGACGTAAACCATAGTAGTTACAGTCACTCAACATACAACGGAGATTATGCTGGGAACCTTAGATATTTTTGTGATGTATATTTCGAGAAATGAGTTTCAAGAACAAAATTATGATATCCATATGTTAGAAGAAAAACTGATTTTAAAACTGCATCGTGCAATGCGATTTCCCAAAAAGTTCTTGCCTATTTCTTATTCTTTTTCTTTCCACAATAAAGTGTATCAATCAAGCATAGTAGGAGACTAGTATGAAATAGGACACTTAGCAAGAAGGAAAATTATTTAGACCTTCCCGAGCGAATAAAATGACGATTTTATCTGCTTTACCCTGCAATCAACAGTAAAATTCATAGTCAGCCTTATAATATAGACGTGTGAAAGGCAGAAAACAGAAAGCAAGCACTACTCTGAATTTTTACTTAGAACCTCTCAATTCAATCAACCAACAACATACTCCAGGGGTGGAGCTAACATAGAGTTCGGCGGAAAATATTACTTTTTTTTTGATAACCGAAAAATCCGTCTATGGCCCGCCCTTTGGACCAATCACAGCCTTCTAAACTCGGTGGATAATGGGCCCCCCCTCTACCCTTCTCCACTTAAATACCAGGCTTCGCTTTGCATGGTGTGAGGCTTGAACCTGTAGCCTAAGCCACAAATCCTTCACCTTTTGCCACTTGAGCTAGGCCTTGGGGGCTGAAAATATTACTATTTATACATGGTTAACATTATTTTTTATGTATATATAGTAGATGTCGAACCCCCTTCTATTAGTTTGTGGTTTACTTCTTCAGATTTTGAACCCCCTTATTAAAAATTCTAGCTCCGCCATTGACATACTCAGTGTAATCCCACAACTGGGGTCTGGGGTCTTGGGAGAGTAGTGTGTACATAGACCTTATCCCTACCTTGGGAGGTAAAGAGGTTGTTTCTGATGGACGATCGACTCAGGTAAAGCATTATAAAATAGTTTGGAAAAAAGAAAACAATAGGAGTGAAAAAACCAAGACAAAATACTAAAAAAAGCATGACAGAGTCATTTACAACTGAAATTGGTTTCTGTTTTGCTCCTCATTTCTAATATATTAAGAATGTTGTAGAAAGCCAATTCAGGCCTCATTTCTCTTATTAAGGGACTAAATCCCACCTATTGAAAGGATATGATGATTTATTTTGTAAACTTCAGTAAAGCATAAAAGGGTCGGACTCGAGTTACTTCTGATTCAGAAATACAAAAGTGCTTGGTTTTCAAATTTCACAATCACTAGGTGTGGAGACTAAATTGTTTTCCGTTATCTTCTTTATCATATAAAATGATTGCACTGAGAAATTCTGCAGCCGAAGCACGTAAAATATGTTTAATTCTTGCTCTTATTCAGCATGATCAATTGAAAGCACTTGTCTAAAGTGCAACATTATTTCACTACTACTAAACAAGGCTAGTATTATAAGATAGACAAGTTAAGCATAATACCCCTCTGCACGCATAAGGGGATCTTCGAACGTTGCATTTGGAGCATAAATCTCAAAATCTTGTGCCTTGGCTCGCGATGCATATCTGAAATTTATTTGCAGAAAGCTTGTCATGGGCATAATTACTGTAAAAAAATGACTCATTAACTAATAAGCTACTGATTAACAGATATCACTAACACAACAACTGCATCTCTGTTCCAAACAAGTTTGTGGGTGAGAAAATTCCAATGATTGCTACAACATATATGATGATGATGAATCAAAAACCTAGTAATAGGAGAAAGTAAAAAGAAAACATAAAATTGGGAGTAAAACTCACAAATTGAGAAGATGTGGAAGTATATAATGAGAAGCAGTATAATCATCACCAGCTTCCTTCAAGTACCCTTCTCTTTCTTCATCCTTCCTTCCTTCTGCACAATTCCCAAAAATAATTGAGAAATACACCAGAAATTAACAAAATTAAAACTTTTTTTTTAACAAGAAATACCTTTGGAGTGTGTATTTTCCATAGGGGGTTGGATCACAAAAAAATACGACAAGTAGGAAGGGTATTACAGAAGAATGGAGAAAAAAAAGAGATAATAAATAAACAGACTCGTTTGGTATACTAGCTATAAAGATAACTAATTTTGAAATTAATATTATGAGTTTAAGTCATATTTAATTGGAGTCAAATTAAAATATGTAAATATATTATCTCAAAATTGAATTATTTATCGTTCAAGTTTTATTTTAAATGTCTATATACTTCCACTGTTTAAAAAAAATGACATACTTTCCTTTTTAGTCTGTTTCAAAAAGAACATCTCTATCTTTTTTTGATAACATTTTAATTTCACATTTTCACGTGTCATGTTTAAAGCCACAAGATTAAAGGACAATTTTGTACATTTGACATAACTTTAATCTAGGACACAAGATTCAAAAGTCTTTTTATTTTCTTAAACTCTGTGTTAAATCAAACTAGACCACTCTTTTTTAAATGGAGGGAGCATATATTACTATGTTTAGGAGGAGAAATTAAGGGTTGTTTGAAAGTTGATATGAGAATGAGAGGTTTTGTGGTGCTTAACGTGGAGCTACTCTGTCCATTTGTGGCCATGAATTTGCTGCTTCTCTTTGCCTTTGACTCGTTTTAATACTTTTGTTTGTCTCGTGTTATGATTTCAAATTTTTACTAGGCATTATACATAAATAGGAAAAATTACTTAGAATAAGTATCCTTTTAATTATTGATTTTAGTGATACTTTTTATTTAGGCAAAAATGATAAATATACCCCCGAATTATCATAAATGGTATTAGGGGTGTCAAATGGGTGGGTTGGATTGAAATTGAAGATATTAAAATGGGTTGAAATAGAAATCACGTTGAGTCTTGACCCGCCCAAGTTTACTTTGGGCTCAAATGGGTTGGGTTCAAATGGGCTAAAAAATGGATTGGGTCTTGACCCGCCCAATTTGATCCGATTAATTTCAATAATTTTAACATAGTGATATTTAACTTTTATAATCACAATTTGAATTTCAGGTCAAGATTTTTTTTTTTAAAAAAAAGTAACAAATGGATAGATAAATCCTAAAAAATGTTAAATAAATAATAATTCATACCTTTAATATAGGAACATATTTTAGTAAAGAGTTTTAAAACGGGTTGAAATTAGAGATTGAATTGGGCTCAATTGAGGATTCTCTTAAAATGGGTTAGGCTTGAATTAGTTGATATTGAACCCAATTCAAATTATCTTGAGCCCAACCCTTAAAATTATGGGCAGGTTATCTATGTTTGAGTTCATTTTTGACACCCCTAAATGGTATGTTAATACCCTCTGTTATACTTTAAGATTGTATATATCCTTACCGTCAATATTTTGGATCGTCTATACCCTTAAGACCAACAGATTGACACATGGCATCATCTAAATAATTTACCTAATTTTATTTTTTTTATTTATCCTAAACTTTGAAAACCCACCCATGGCCCAAAATTAAAATACCATGACATTTAAAATTAAAAATAAAAAACTTAGTTGTTCATCTTCACTAAATATCAAATAAAAGGAAAAATATTCTTCAATTCCCTTTCATTGGCACCTTTCTCCAAATTTCACAAACAAAAACACATAAGCATATTATACCAATCAAAATCAAAAATCCAATTTCATCTTTTTTTTATCAAATCAATTTATTATTGTTGAAAGGAGTTGGAAACAATATCATCATTGATGGACAAAGCTTCAAGCTTAAAAATGGGCCTACAATCGAATCGAAAATTTCAAACTCAAATTGATTTATTAAGTTGAGAAAATACTACTATCATTGATGGACAAAACTTCAAGCTTTAAAGTGGGTCTACAATCTAATCGGCAGTTTCAAGCTCAAATCGATTTGTTATTGTTGAAAGGGGTTGAGAAAATACTATCACCATTAATGGACAAAGTTTTAAGCTTTAAAGTGAGTCTACAATCAAATAAAAAATTTCCAGCTCAAATCGATTTGTTATTGTTGAAAGAGATTGAAAATATTCTTGAAATAGATAATGTACAAAAGATCCAATAACCTAAATTCCTACTAAGCTAAATGAAGATGAAGTTTTTCTTTTTTTATTTGTTAGCAAGCATAAAGTCTACAGTTTTAAAGAATTCGAAAGACACCAAATTGACAGAACTTGAAGGGAATGTTACATGTTGAAGCTGGATGGAATGAGGAAGATACAAAGTTTGAAGTGAAAGTGAAGAAGAGAGCATTTTTAGTGAACAAGTCATCTTCTTTCTTGAAAGATGAGTTCTTGATTCCGTGGTCATGGTGGGTTGAGAAGAATAGATGAATGGTTTTTGATGAAGATGAAGAGTGGATTTTGATACCACCCGGCTGATTTTTTAATTTTTGGGTAAAAAATAAATAAATCGGGTAAATCATTTAGATGAAGCCACGTGTCCATCCATTAACTTCAAGGATATACACAACCCAAAAAAATGACGGTAAGGGTACATACGACCTTAAAGTATAATGGAGGGTATTGACATATCATTTATAATAGTTCAGGGGTATATTTATCTTTTTTTTCTTTTATTTATTACCATTTATAGCAATATATAACAATATTATGATAAATCTGCAATATATATGAAAAGTGAATTATACTCCATATGCAATATACTCCCTCTATCCCAATTTATGAGGTACTTTTCGTTTTCAAGAGTCAAACAGTTTAAATTTGATCAGAAATTTGCACGTGAAATCTTTAATTTTTTTAAGTGAAATTTATATATTTGTAAGTACGTAAAAAGTACTATAAGTTACAATAATTAAAAATATATAAAAAATTACGGTAAAAAAATAGATTTGTTTAAATCTCAAAATTCGAAAAGTGTCACATAACTGGAAATGAAGATACCTTTGGAGTAATTTGAAGTTGAAGTTCATAATTTCCCAAGCTATCTTGCTCTTGTTGAATTCTCTTTGCACTATTTACTACACCAGAGCTGCAATATTTTATTTGGATGAATTTTAGTGTCATTATATCTCCGATACTCTCAGGAATCTCCTCCAATTCATCCAACCCACGCAGTAATAGTTGCTCAAGCATCGGAAAATTATCACTACCATCTGCTAATTCCCACCTTTCCAGACCTACGAATTGTTTATTTCTACATGCTTCCCACCTTTCCAGACCTTTACCAACAATTTGTAGATATTTTAATTTGTGAAACACAACAACTTCATCGAGTTTCCAATCTGTTCCATCGAATGCACGATACCCTTTGAGCACCTCAAGATTGGGTAAATTAGCCAGCAAATTCACAACTTCCCATGGTATATAAGTACCTGCTAATATCAATTTCTTGATATTAGAACTTAACGTCATTTTCTTGATTTTACAAGGCAAAATATCTCCAGAGAAAATGTTCAGGTCAATGCTCTCCAGCGTTATGAGTAGCGTCTCCAGCTCCTCTAAAAGAATTAGAGAATCAAGAATTGCAGGCCACTCAGAATGCTCAGAATCATCTAAAAGCTTCAGCTTTTTCAGATTCGGAGTTCTTCTTATGATTTCCGCTATAAAAGGAGCCTTATATAGATAAAGATTTTGCAAGTTATTGAGAAACAAAGGTTGCTCTCCAATACTATCATTTTCTGCCTCAAGAGGATTAGATATATATAGTGGCGATCTGATATCCAAATGTCTTAGCTCTGACATTCTCCAGATATCTACTGGCTGCTCCAACTCTCTTGGTCTGTTGATAACGATATTTGTTTGAAGAATTATGGTCTGTAGATTTCTCAATTTGTCTAGTGAAACAGCTTTCTCAATTCTTGCAGCAACATATCTCAAATGTACAAGCTCAGGTATTACACTAGAGAAATCGTACCAGAGTGATAATACGTCCAACACCTTAAGCAACTTGAATTCTGAAACAATGGAACAAATCCTTTCTGGAAAACCGGTGTGGTAAAAAAATGGCTTTGAAATAAAGGTACGAGCTATACTTGTTATACAATTGCTATGCATTGTAGGATAAACTTGCTTCTCTTTATGTTTACACAGACCTATCACTCGCCGCTGATCATCTATTACTTTTAATAAGGACACGAGGACATTCCCATTCATGACATGCACAACATTTTCAGTATGAGTTTCACTTAGGCACATTTGGCGAAGAAGATCATGAATTTTGCAAGTTCTCATCCTTCCATTATAACTTTGTTTACCAGTCAAAATTAGACTTCTATCAATTAACTCTTGTAGATACTCCTCTGCCACCACTTCTAATCTTATATTGCTTCTTGCCTTTACAAATTGCTCTGCAATCCATAGCCTAATCAACTTGGAAACATTAATCTCTCTGTCTTCTGGAAAACCTCCAACATAGAGAAAACAAGCCTTCAAATATTGGGGCAAGTAATTGTAGCTCAGAGACAGAATTGATTGGCACCGTTCGGACACCGTACCAAAGAATGAGTTCAGATTTTCCTCAACCTTCTTCCAATTATCCTGTGTTGGGTCCATTTTCCCAAGAAGTCCAGCAACGACAACCACTGAGAGAGGTAATCCTCGACATTGTTGTACAATATGCTTCCCTATTTCTTCTAGAAGAGGAGGACAGTGATCTTTTTGAATAATTTTTCGGTAAATAGATTCCAACTATCTTCTAGACTTAGAAAAGACTTACTATGAGGTGGAAAATCAGGGCAGTTGACATAATCAGCAACATACTTGAGCCGTGTGGTTAATAGAATTCGGCTTTTATTGTCATCATTTGGAAATATTCTTTGCATTTGGTCCCATGCCTCGGTACTCCAAATATCATCTATGACAATTAGGAATCTCCTACCCTTCAGGCCTCTATACACAATCTCCATTAGTTCATCATCACTCATTTCTTGTTTGCTTCCGGTAATTGAAGAGGCTACTTCAAGAAGCATTTGTCTCTGATTGTATTCTTCGGAGATAGTGACCCATGCATGTTTATCAAATCGAGAACAAATAGATGAATCATCATAAATTTTTCTGGCAAGAGTTGTCTTACCGATACCGCCCATACCAAAAATTGGTATGACAGTTAACTCGTCTGTTTGGGCAGTGACGCGATCAAGTATGATGTTGAAGTCATCCTCCATCCCAAAAATAGTATTTCCCTCAATTGTACTTTTTTCTGGTGAGTAGGTAGTTGTTGCTGATTCTGCAGATTTGCTTCCATGCTTTTTAACATTAATCTGCATCACCTCTTTGTGGAGAAAATAAACTTGTCCTTTCACTTTCAACAATTCTTCATAAAAGGATGTATAAGCCTTTTCCCGCTTGTCCTCACGATCTGCTAGAATGATCCTTCGTAGACATAAATCAACTTTATATTCCGCTTTGTATACTACATTTCTGATCCTCATTTCTATAACCTTGAAATTGAAACTCGGTAAATTAATTATTATTGAAAAAAATATAAAAAATCAGTAAGATTTAGATAACTATACTAGTTAATTACATACCTTAAGAGTTTCAGTATCCTTTGTAGTATCGTCAAGGAGATCTTGCAGAGCAGAAAGATTTTGATAGAGAGATTGAACATGTTGCGTGTAGCTTCGACAAACGAAAGATTGATTAGGTTTGAATAGTTGTTCCAATGTATACAGAAGTGAAGAAAGAGCAGCATAAGCCATTTCTCTTAACAAAAAAATTATTGCAGTTTGCTGGAATAATTTACTTTGTTATTATTAGGCTAAGAGGTTTTGTCCAAATGATTTACTTTTTTTTATTTCCAACTTTTTTTAAATGGGGGACAAAGATTAGTGTACTTACTTTTATCATTTGTTTAATTACAAGAGATGATGGATTTCCATTGACAAATGAGAACACAATCATATACAACAAGTAAATCAAATTATTTCACTTAATTAATAGTACTATATTCTCAATGGGGCATCTCTTTTTGTATTATATAATTGTGAGATAAGGGGTAGTGGACTAACTTTTACTATTTGTATTATATAATTGTGAGATAAGGTGTAGTGCACTAAACTTTTACTATCATTATCTTTAATTAAGCAATTGATGGATTGCTAATGGGTTTGTTGACTAATGATGGCACAATGCAGCCAGTTTACACTACTTCATGGTTAATCAAACCTCATAATACTCTTTTAACTTGGCTTCAGTTGACATCTATGTTCCTTAATTTTGGGTGTGCACAAGTAGACACTTAAACTTGTATAAAAATTTGAAGAAGAAGACACATGTGTTCTACATGGCATAATACATGTAGAACTCCACGTAGGACATAAATCTTCATGTAGGACTCCACATAGGACACATGTATCTATTTGTTCAATTTTATACAAGTTAAAAGTGTCTACTTATACCACCCAGAATTAAAGTCGAGTAAAATATGTATGCCAAAACAGTAAAGGCGGCAGTGGAAGTAGAGTAAGCTAGAGCTCCTCTCGTTACAGTCAAGTGACTTTTGCTCATCTACACCTTTTTCTATGGTGAGTTTACAATTTGAATCATACCCATTTAGGAACAAGAAAATATCACCGTGATTTGAATTAAGTCTCGATGAAAGAATTGATCATAGTTCAAAATTAATCTATTTCGCATAATTTAGGTGTAACTTTTACATTTTAACCATAAAAGATAAAAGAAAAATAAATAGAGGGAGAGGGGGAAGAAAATGGTAGTGCAAATAAACAAAGAGGTGTATATCTAATTCAGAAATAGGTGAAGAAAGATACGAATAATTAACCTATATATCCGTCCATCAAACTGATTAGACTAAAAATAGCCGACGGATATACAATATACGTATAATCCATGTTCAATATGTGTATAATCAATGTACTATCTATATATATTTAATTATGTGAAGATATTTTCAAGCAAAACATATATATATTTCTTACATGATTATAAAACTAACTGAAATAGTTAAAAACAGTACACTGCAATTTACATAGGGCGATCTTTTCCAAACCCCATTAGGGTACGTTTTAAAAGCTTCGAAGCTCTACGAGACACCTCAATCACGCGCCTAACAAGTGGCACCTTCACTGTCTCCCTATTCCATAAAGGCTTCTTATCCCAGCTGCAAAAATTGTTTGAAAACCATTAAAAATAGGAATAAACTATACAACTAAACATTATACTTTATGTATAAAATATATTTGGCAAGACAAGTGATGCTTGCTCAGTTGGTGAAACACCTCCGCCTCTAACCAATTATATTGGTCGACGGTTCAAGACATGTTGTAAGCAATTGGGGCGTACAGCTTAGCAAGCCTCATTCGTTTTGCTTCTCTTGATCATACAACATCTCTAATGCCTGGACTCTTCATCTGGCTTTGACACTCCGGTGTAAGTAATCATATCGATGCTTCAATATTCACTTGCTATCTATTTTCATGGAGACATTTAAGCAGAGATTTCATATCTATAATTTCTACTTCTTAAGTACTCCAGGGCTTCAGGTAGTAGAGAGGGTTCCTAGTCCGGGAGAAACTGCCCGAGCAAATTAAGTAATGATGTGATAACCAAAGCACATGAAACACGGGGAGTAACAAAAATCGTAGGACAAGAAACTATGAGAATAATATTACTACTACTGGTATGAACAGAGAAACAAGTACTCTGTACCAAATTACCACCAAGCCTATCCACAGGATAGCGAGTCAACAATCAATTACCTACGCACCTTCTGCCTTATATCTTCAATCCTAATTTTATCTCTCTTCTGAGTATACATTTTGAATCTTATTTTAGTATATCTGCCCAATAATTTCCCCAGTTACCAGCATAACATAACATAGAAAATCACTTCCAATAGCTTCTTTTAGATTGAATTCAAACAATCTCAAAACAGAGTTTGAAGCTAAACAATGAAAATCCATGATAATTTTCAGAAAAAATGAAGGTTATACATTACCTGTTCCAAGCAACAGGCGTAGTAGCTCGAGCTAAGTCAGGCTGTTGAAAAAATGTGGACCCTTTTGAGTAAACTTCGAAATAACAAAAAATATTACTCTTCTATAGAAAGAGCACATGAACATATTAATTAAGAATTGACTAATAATGAAAGATGGAAATGAACATACCATAGGAGTAATTTGAACTTGAAGCTCATAATTTTCTAAGCTTTGTTGCTCTTCTTGAATTTTCGTTGCACTAGTGTCTACACCAGAGCCGCAACAGTTTATTTGGATGAATTTTAGTGTCATTATATCTCCAATACTCTCGGGAATCTCCTCCAGATCACGCAACTGATGCAGTATTAGTTGCTCAAGCATAGGAAAATTATCACTACCAGCTTCCCACCTTTGCAGATCTCCGGCTACAATTTTTAAATGCTTTAATTTGCGAAACACAACATCTTCATCTAGTCTCCAATTTGTTCCCTTGAATGCATCATTCCCTTTGAGCACCTCAAGACTAGGTAAATTAGCAAGCAAATTCACAACTTCCCATGGTAATCTAGTGTATGATAATTTCAATTTCTTTAGATTAGGAGGGAAAATATCTCCTGAGAAAATCATTGGGTCAAAGGTTGCTATCTGTAGTGTCTCCAAATCATGTAGAAGACTGAGAGAATCAAAAATAGGATGCTCAGATCTATCTGAAATCTTTAGCTTTTTTAGATTGGGACTTCTTGTTATGATTTCCTCAACAAAAGGAGAATAATGAAGATAAAGTGTGTGCAAGTTATTGAGAAACAAAGGATGTTCTCCAATACTATGATTTTCGGCATCAAGAGGATTAGATATATATAGTGGCAATCCAATATCCACATGTCTTATCTCTGACATTGTCCAAATATCTACGGGGTGCTTCAACTCCGTCTCTTCAAGACTTTGAAGAATTATGGTCTGTAAATTTCTCAATTTGGCTAGTGAAAGAGCTTTCTCAATTCTTGCAGCAACATATCTCAAATGTATAAGATGAGGTATTACACAAGAGAAATTGCATTCAATTGATAATACGTCCAACACCTTAAGCAACTTCAACTCTAAAACAATGGAGAAAATCCTTTTTGGAAAAATTAAACCAAAAGATGGCATTGGAATAAAGGTGCGAGTTATACGACTGCTATGCTGCATACTATGATATATGGCTTTGGGGACATCCCCAGTTATGACATTCAAACCATTTTCAGTTTGACCTTCTCTTATGCACAGTTGTCGAAGAAGGTCGTGAATTTTGCAAGTTTTCATCCTTCTATTAGCCCTTTGTTTACCAACCAAAATTAGACTTCTATCTATTAACTCTTGTAGATACTCCTCTGCCACCACTTCTAACCTTTTATTGTTTCTTACCTTTACGAATTGCTCAGCAATCCATAGCCTAATCAACTTGGAAACATCAATCTCCATATCTTCAGAAAAACCTCCAACATAAAGAAAACAAGTCCTCAAATATTGGGGCAAGTAATTATAGCTCAAAGAAAGAATTGATTGGCACCGTTCGGATACCGTACCAAAGAATGAATTCAGATTTTTCTCAACGATCTTCCAATTGTTATGCGTTGGGTCGATTTTTCCAAGAAGTCCAGCAACAACAATAACTGAGAGAGGTAATCCTTGACATTGTTGAACAATATGCTTCCCTATTTTTACAAGTAGACTAGGACATGGATCTTTTTTGAATATTTTTTCAGTGAATAGATTCCAACTATCATCTAGACTTAGAAAAGACTTACTATGAGGCGGAAAATCAGGACAGCTGACATAATCAGCTACATACTTGAGCCGAGTGGTTAATAGAATTCGGCTTTTATTGTCATCATTTGGAAATATTCTTTGCATTTGGTCCCAAGCTTTTGTACTCCAAATATCATCTATGACAATTAGAAATCTCCTACCCTTCAGACCTTTATACACAATCTCCATTAGTTGATCATCGCTGGTTTCTTGCTTGCTTCCAGTAATTGAAGAGACAACTTCAAGAAGCATTTGTCTCTCATTGTATTCTTCAGAGATAGTGACCCATGCATGTTTATCAAATCGAGAACGAATATATGAATCTCCAAAAACCTTTCTGGCAAGAGTTGTCTTACCTATACCGCCCATACCAAAAATTGGTATGACAGTTAACTCGTCTGTTTGGGAAGTGACGCGATCAAGTATGATGTTGAAGTCATCCTCCATCCCAACAATAGTATTTTCCTCAATCTTACTTTTTTCGAGTGAGGAAGGATTTGTTGCTGATTCTGCAGATTTGATTCCATGCTTGTTAAACTTGACCAACATCACCTCTTTGTTGAGAAAATAAACTTGTTGTTCCACTTTCAACAATTCTTCATAAAAGGATCTACAAGCCTTTTGCCGTTTGTCCTCGTGATCTGCTAGAATGATGCTTCTTAGACTTGAATCAACTCTATCTTCTGCTTTGTATACTACATTTCTGATCCTCTTTTCTATAACCTTGAAATTGAAACTCAATAAATTAATACTATTAAAAAGAATATATAACATCAGTAAGATTTAGATATTATACTAGTGAATTAGATACCTTAAGAGTTCCTATATCCTTTGTGGTAGTATTGTCAAGGAAATCTTGCAGAGCAGAAAGATTTTGACAGAGAGATTCGAGATGTTCTTGTGTACAACATCGACAAACCAAAGATTGATTAGGTTTCAAGAGTTGGTTCAATGTATAGATAAGGGAAGAAAGAGCAGCATAAGCCATTTCTCTTTGTTTGCTGGAATAACTAAAAGATAGAACCTTGTAGATTTAATTTCTCTGCTTTGTTATTTATCAGGCAAAGTGTTTTTTTTTTTTCTCAAATGGTCTACTTTTTCATATCT